GTATAGCTGTGTGTATATACATACATTTATATGTATGCATGTGTGAGTATTCTCCAGCTTTTTATAATACAAAGCAGAATGTCACGCAGTTTTAGTATTTCTGCATCACCTCCACAGCGAACACGCCCCCAGCCTGTTTTTATACTGTGCTGAATTTTAAGATTTATTATGCGAAGGATTTAAACTTGAGAGCGACAGAGAGAGAGAGAGAAAAAAAGCGCTCTCGGCGGAAGCTTTAAAGAAGACAGTGCTGCCGGCTGGCTGCTGCCGCGCTGCTGCGCTGCTATCAGCTGTTTAGACTAAAAAACAAAAATAAACAAAAACAACAACAAATGGTAGAGTATCTTTTTCATTATTATAGAATGTATTTGAGTGTGTGTTTGACTGAGCGCCAACTGGGCGAAGCGCGACTGTCGTCGCTGCTGCCCGGCAATGTACACACATGCACATGATACACACATTCATCTTGGCATACATATGTATGTATCTGTGTGAGTATGCACATCCATACATCAATACATACATATGTACATATGAATGTATATTGGCAGCAGCAGACAAAACCAACCGATTTTACTTGATTTTATTTTTATTATTTGTTTTTTTGACGTGTTGCCGTGCAGTTGTAGTAGTAGTTGTTGCTCTTGTTGGTTTGCCTCGCCATGGCGCGGCGTTCAGTATGCGCTTAAAGAGCATTAAGCGATAAATATTGTATGTAAAAGGAAACCGAAAAAAGAAAAAGATGGCGTTTACGCGCCAGTGTACGAGCATGCAAGTTAGTAGAGTAGCTCCCCCGCCGCTACTATTGTGAATACGCAAGTCTCTGCAACTGTATCTGTAGATGTGTGTGTGTGCTTCTATGTTATAATATATACATATGCATGTATGTATGTAATGCATTCATTAAAGCAAAATTAATCCGCTACATAGTGAATTTTATGACATTGCAATGTAGTGGGAATCCAACTGGACTTATTGACCACTAAACCGCTTATCCCTGCTTACCGTGCTCATCCTGAAAGAAAAAGTTGACTTCATCAGTCTTAACCGCGCCGCTCGTTTGATTTGTCGCCGAGGTATGCGCCATTTTCAGGTGTAGTGGGCAGAAGGACAAATGTAGTGACGACGATTCGCCTGTTGTTTGGTGCCCAGCACCCTTAACCGTTGCTGAATTGATTTCGCTGCTACCTGCGGCGACTACGACTATTTTGTATTTGCGCTTTTATTTCTGGGAGGGGACACTAACTGTTCACCAACACGCCCCGCCAAAAGATATCAATGCCAATAGAACAGAACAGAATGGAACTGAAGCACGTAGTCGCAATGTGTGTATGTGTATGTATGAATGCCTGCCTCGGTGTATGCAAGTGAATATGTGTACTTTTTATATTTGTATTTGTGTGGCGCGGCCCGCGATGATCTCTGTAGTTTTTTTTTTGGGTTCACAATTGTAACACGTGTATTAAATATTCTTTGTACAATTCACAGATGTTCTTATATTGGGGCGTAAGAGACTACGCTGTGGCACAGTTCAAAGTGATTATTTTGATAGTAGCAAGTAAAAATTCGGTTGTCGCGCGAGTCAAAATGGCGAGCGCATTTTTTGTTTCCAGCAGAGGCAGCAGCGCATTTTTTCTTGTCACACTCACACAGAAATGTTTCAATGCGGGTTTTTTCAAAGGCGTTTTTCGGGCACTTTTAGTGTTCTGATTTTTATGCACTTTTTTGCAAATGAATGGAGAAATTATGTTGTTTCTAGTGCACTATTTAGAATTTTATTATGGTTCGTTTTAATAGCAGCGCGATGTTCATAAAATTTCCATCAAGTCGTTGGTTTTTCGACGACGACGACAACGACTACGAAAACGACCAACGTGAGAGTGCGAGCGAAATGGCAGACCCCGCGGTAAACAGCTGATTTCCTCGGCGCGCCAAATTTCCGCATCAATCGAACTCAGTGTTGTGTAACGACGTCACGGTAGCGGCACTCATATAGTACAAAATGTTATCTTATAATTCACTCAAGAGTCTCTTAGCATTAAAGAATCTTATAAATACAGTCTTTTCCTACTTTATACATCTTAATACAAATTTTTAAATTGATTTCATAGTGTGCACACATAAAGTTATCGCTTCTGATTTTCAGAATGCAATGGATCACCTTTGTTCTTAGGTCTTCAATTGTCTTGGTTATCTGCTAATTCGTTGAAAAAGTCAACATTGAAATAGTTTATATTTTAAACGACTATCTGTAAAGATATTTTATCCTCTCGAACGTTTTCCAACACACTTTACAAAATGTAAACAATGCTGTTATCGTGGACTTCACCCTAAACGACGACAATTATTTTGGCCAACTCGACACAGGCATCGCTAGCCAAAACTGGTGTGTTTGAATATCGATAGTTTTTCAAGCCCTAGAGTTGCGTATCGATACTGTAATGAGCTTTAAAACTGCATTGCTACATAATATAATGAATGCATTTTATGTCTAACTAAAAAGATTAAATTTCTTATCATATTAAAATTCATATTTAATTTAAGCAAACTAATAAGTGAAGACCAAGTATAAGATTCAAAAGAACTAAATGAACGTGAACAATGCGATTCGTACCGATGAGCTTGTTCGGAACATTTCGACACAACTCTACACACGCACGGCTGATTTTTGCCAAATACTATAATAAACAATATATTGATATAAAAAAATGACAAAAAAGAGATTAAATGATACGTTAAGTGAAAAATTAAAGGCTATGTAAAAGAGATTTCTGCTGTTAAATCAAATCAAATCATCAATACACGCACACAGAGCCCAGCGCCACCTGATATCAGTGTGGAAGACGACTAGACAACAACAAAATGGTCGATCCACTGTGCAATTATAATGTATTGGAGGCTATATTCTCATATTTGGAGCTAAGTGACTTAAGTCGCTGTTCACAAGTCTGCAAAAGCTGGTATCACTTTCTGAACGATGAAAACAGTGATGTTTGGCGTTGGCACTGCCTGCGGAAACTTCCCAAAGAGTCTATCAAATCCGATCTGCTGGCCTCCGTTACCACATACAAGACAAAGCTGCGCGCGTACCTGCACGCTTGGAATCCCAACGATTGTTCACGGAACGTTTACATTAAGCCAAACGGATTCACTCTGCATCGGTACATAAATTGTTTTCTGGTATACTCTTTGTGCTAATATTATTATTGTTTTATTTTTGTTATTTCAGAAATCCGGTAGCACAAAGCACAGACGCTGCAAGGGCGAAAATTGGTTTTCGTCAAGGCCGTCATGCATGGGAAGTGATTTGGGAGGGTCCATTGGGGACCGTGGCCGTAATTGGTATATCCACAAAGGAGGCAGCTTTGCAGTGTCATGGCTATGTGGCACTACTTGGATCTGATGATCAAAGCTGGGGCTGGAACCTAGTTGAGAATCATCTACTGCACAACGGTGATATGCAGGGCAATTATCCGTTATTAAACAATGCACCCAAATACCAGGTGGGTGAAAGGATACGCGTTATACTCGACTGCGATGATAATACACTATCCTTTGAGAAGAATTATGAATTCCTAGGAGTCGCATTTAGAGGTTAGCTATTTATATTAAAAATCGAATTGCCAATAGTTTTATTGGATATATGAAATAAAATCGTTATAGGTCTGCCAGCTAAGAAGCTTTATCCTACGGTATCTGCTGTCTATGGCAACACAGAAGTGTCTATGGTCTATTTAGGGACCCCATTGGATGGATAACTCTATGAGATTACAGCTGGAGCCTTACTGCCCTATAATTTGTAAAATAAGTGCAGATAAAAAATGATTAATTTTATGTATATTCGTTTCGATTCCCCTGTCTTTTCTGTCTAGTTGCTGATTTATATTGTAAAAAAAAAAAAAAAACAAAACAAAAAACAAAAAATTAAAAGCATTTCCTTGATTTTAGATTTACGCCAAAGTTTAAATCTTCTCTATTCCGTCTGCATACCGGTTAAGTTTAATTGTACGAACCAAATAAATAAGTAGTTGTAAATTTCATACAATGAACAGCTTAAAATCATCAAGACATTCATTTACTCGATTTATTAATCATAACTCGTAACTGAAAACGTTTAACAGCCTGCTGCCTTGTTATGCAATAAGGAATAAAATAAATTTTATATGAAATTCGTTTTCTTGTCCTCATTCACGAGAGTTTATTAATAGTTTATATAATGTTTGGGGAGGAAAATTTACATATGTAAATTGCATTCAGGATATGTCCAAAGAAATGGGTGTTTGTGCTGTATATGGCATTTGGTATAACGGTGAACAAGGACTCCGTGGCGCAACGGTAGCGCGTCTGACTCCAGATCAGAAGGTTGCGTGTTCGATTCACGTCGGGGTCAACGAAAGGACGAACTTTTTCATTATTTATTATTTACACACAAAGAAAACTTGTACTTCGTTTTTTTCTGTCTGATTATTAATAATTAAAAGACGATAATTATTTTTAACAATATTCAAATATTTATTTATTTAATTATATATAATTTTAAGCAGATTTTGTTTAGTGCAAGAAACAACAATTGCATAACGAGCATACGTTTATCTATTTTAAATTTATAGCGTGAATTTCGTTATCTTCTCAAAAATGTCATAATTAAAATACATATATAAATATTTATACATATTTACTTCTGTTTGTATATAGATAACAAAGCAATTTCGAACGATTTCCTTTGATTACTAATTTTAATAAGTTCATATATGTATGTTCCTGTATATATGTAAATATATATCAATTTATATATTTGTAGATACTTATTTTTGTTTTTGTTTTTGTTTTTTTTTTTTTTACGAATTGTAGCTTAATTGTAAATTCCCTAAACGGTTTCCGATGTCGTTTATTTAGTTGTTCCCTTATTGCATACAAATATATGTATGTGTGAGTGTAACATATATATAAAAAATATTATTTATGTGCTGTCTTTTTTTTTTCTTTTTTGCTTTTTTTAATTTTAAATGAACAAATATTATTTATGTAAAACTACCAACACCAAAATTCGCGATGCTTTTTCTCGTCTGTCGTCTTGCAAATTGAACTAAACGAAATTAAAAAATTTCAACAAAAATTTTGTACACAAGTCAAAAAAGTTATACAATTTATATAGATTTATTTGCTATTGACTAGATTTAGGAACTCCTCGCGCGTCTTTGGATCATCGCGAAATACGCCAAGCATAGTCGAGGTAACAGTTTTGCTATTGATTTTCTGCACGCCACGCATGACCATGCACATGTGTCTAGAATAGAGAAGTAAATCAATAACTATATTTAGTAAATAATAAATTATGAATAAAATAAAAACAGCTAATAATGACTATGTTTAAATATTAAACTCCTCATCAATTGCCTGCACAGTGTTATTTCAGACCCTTCAACTTATTCAGCTTTAGCGCAACTCCCCACACAAGCATCGGTGGTTCAGTGGTAGAATGCTCGCCTGCCACGCGGGCGGCCCGGGTTCGATTCCCGGCCGATGCAACTCATTTTTTTTTTATTTTTTATATGTATAATTTAATAATAATTTTTTATTTTTTTTTTTATACTTACACGCCCTCAACAACAACAGCAACACCTGCTGGCTGCACTGCCTGTGTTACAGCAACTGCAATTTGCTTGGTCAAGCGCTCCTGCACCTGAAGACGACGCGAAAAGATTTCCACGATGCTAAAATATATAAATAAGGTATAAATAAGGTATATGAAATTTCAACTAAGAGAATTCAGGTAACTTACCGAGCCAGCTTGCTGAGACCCAGAATCTTATTGCATGGCAAATAACCGATAGACACTTTTCCATAGAAGGGCACCAAATGATGCTCGCACATGGAAAACATTTCAATGTCCTTCACAACGACCATTTCATCATGATCCTCATCAAAGACGGCGCCATTAAGCACATCTAAGCCACAAATCAAATCGAAAATTATGTTAATATTATTTCGGTCCAACCTAGATTGATGTAAATTTTATGCTACATTTATTTGCTCCATAGAACGGACGTGTGGCAATGGCATAACTGAATCTTAAGTTGAACTTTTCCACTTGACTGTTAATGTGCACACATGCACATGAGAGCCTGAGAGTGTGAGCAAGAGTGTGTGTGTGCGTGTGGCGCCACTTGTTGGCCATTCTTTTGGCAGCTTGAGCTTTCACTACTTCAGCTTTAAATGCTCTGCCTACTCTTGTGATTTCAGCACACTTCTTGCCTGTTCTGCCTGCTCACCCGCTCACAGCAGCACTGTCGACGTCAGTCGCTCACTCATTTTTCACACTCTCTCTCAGCGCCTCTTCGTTACCGTTTTAAAAGCTTAAGTGCGATTCCTGTCAATTCATAGCAACTGCTGCTGGCGCTGCTGCTCCTGCACCTCTGCTCTACTAAGCTCTGCTCTCCCTCTATTGCTGCTGCTGCTGCTCCTGCAGCTTTGCTCTGCTCTCTCTCTGTCTCTTTCACACTCGCTACATACTTCAATGTCACTGATTTTATGACATATTTCTGTTGTTATAAATCATTTTGTGAACTAGTTAACTAGCTTTGTTTCAAATTTAAATGATGTCAAGAAAATGATCAAATTCTAGACACGTTTAATTTTGGAGCATTTGGAATTCTATTTAACATTGAAATTAGATTGAAAGGGCTGCGAATTGTTTTTGTGATTATTGATTATAAATGTGCCTCGAGGCAATTTACTTTCATTAATATCTGACTGCCGTCGCTGCCGCTGCTGCTGGCCAATTTGAATGCTGACTTTGAGTTTTGTGCGATTGTATTAAATAAAGTGTAGAACCTGCTTTACTGAATTACTATTCTTAAAACCGGTCTGCATACTTGCAATTCACCAAAACAAAATAAATAAGTAATAAAAATAAACTAAAAGCAAAAACAAGAATAAAATAAAGTTAGTAAACATATTAGAGTCATACAATACTAGAAAATTGACAGTACGTCAAGCGCAAGGACCCTCCACAGAACGACAACACAAAACTTTTCATTTAGAACTGTAAACTGACTTAAGTGAAAACGATTAAGGGGAATGCACCGCCCAGTCAAGTCAAGACAAGTCGAGTCAGTGATAAAGGTGAAGTACGGTGGTCAAATAATACATATAGATATAGATATGCATATACATATATAGAGCTCCGATGAATCACTACTAAAAGAAACTAGTTTCTAGTTGGAAATGCCGCTTCAAAGTTAATTTTTGTGTTTTATTTTTTTTTATTTTTTTGCTGATTCACTGTGTCACACAGGATGGAGCACTGACCTAATGCTAATTGGTCAGAGTGATTGTCAGGTGCTAATTGAGCTGTGTGGAAACACATAATGCTGCCCACTTACCCTCCAGATTCTGATCGTAACCCTTGGTGAAATACAGCATAGCCTTGGCAGCACGTTCCGGTGTCTTGATCAGGCCCTGTCTGTCGGGATTCTCGCCGAGGCCGCCCAACAGCAGGCGGTAGGAGCGCGCCATATCAGGTAGCAATGCCTCACGTGTTGGCGGCTTGTGATCCAGCTCCAGATCATGGTGAAAAGTGCAGTTCTCATGGCCTGTCAACAAATCAAAACAAGAAACGAGAAGCATATGAAACAGTGTTGGAAATTCGTTTGTCTATTGATAACCCGCCAAACCCCGGAGTGCGTTCCAATTGGACTTGGGTTGAAAACAAATGCTGATCAGAAAATATACACGATTCAACCTTTGACAGGCATTAATGTTCTAATGCTGTGGCTCATATCAGTGCAGCCTAACGGGGACTTGAACTCTTATCTCGAACGATTGGCCGATTAGGCGGGACTTGCTAATATATATACAATATATATATAAATATGTTTATATTTATAGTTTGTCAGGCGTCGCACATTAAATTAAATGATTATTATGCCCGTTAGACCCTATTAATTGAATGATTAAGCGCTGATGTCGTTCGCTCAAGCAGCTCCTAGGCAAAGAGTTAACCCAATCCCACTACCTGGCGTCGTCGATGTACGCGGTGTCTGTGGTGTTAACGACGATTGTGTACCATCATTTTCCGGTATGCTGGTGCTGCTCTTCAGTATGAGACGTGGTCGATTGGGATTGATGGGAGCTGGCTCCTCGCTGCCAGTTGACGACGGCGGCTGCGTCTCCTCCGGCTGGGCAACCACACGATCCGCCAGCGAGGAGGTGCCGGAAGTGCTACTTGTTGAGCAGACACTATTGTTGCGCCCACGCGATATGATATGCGCCTGTGGAAAATTCGTATCGTCGATGGCATCGTTCAGCTCGCTGGCGCTCATCTCGGACAGTTGGCGTGTGAAGCTCATGTTTGGCTGGATGCAGTTGCCTTTATTTAACTTGCAATATTTTGTTGGCGCAAAAAAATGAATAGCCAAATACACAAAAAACTTTTTCGACTTTGGATGAGGAAAAAATCGTAATTCGGCTCGGGCTATGCGTGTTAACGTTGTGGAATGCTTTAGGCAACTGGCTGCCCGCTGGGCTCGTCGTTGCTAATAAGAACTTCAAGCAGAGCTTTGAGCGTGAGCAGAGCTTTTGAAGAGCGAGCGAGCTTTACGTGCGTCTACAATGCTCTTAAAACTGTTGACTTTCGAACTTGTTGCTTTTTGAGTGAGGGCGCACGGTGGGTGGGTGGTTGGTTTGGGTGGCTTGGGTGGACGCCCACTCGAACGTGCTCAAGGTCTATTAACTTCAACTTTGATTTCATGTACGTGCGTAAGCGTGCGCGTGTGCGTGTGTGAATGTGTGCGTGTGTGTGTATGTGTTTACCCAAGCTTGAGTAGTCAGAACTTTTCAGTAACTTAAAAACGTAGGCAACACGTAAATCCTGCCTTCACCGAAAAATTCCAAATTTTTTGTTAACATGGCTCATCGCATCAAGCTCCGTGCCGATGACTTTGATGTCGTTGGCGCCGTTCCACGTGATCTTTCGGTGATCAAGAATTTTCTGAAACGGGATTGCGCCGTCAAGCGTCTCATTGAAATTGAGGAGGGCTTTCTCAAGAAATGCATGGAAATGCAGGCCGAAGAGGCCGAAGAAGCGAAAGCCAAGAAGTCCCAATATGGAGCAATCAAAGAAGAAATTGAGCAACCACCTCCGGATCCATGCACTAGCACATCCCCGCCAGATGCAAATGCGGCTGACTACTGTGATCCGTGTCGGCGATTGAAGACGTCTATCGTGTTGGAAGAGGTGCGTAAAATATAAAATATCTTTCCATCTCTATCTCCATCTCTTTCATTTCAATTTCCCCCTTTTCGCTCTACGTTTAGCTAACGAAGCCAACCACCATCAATCCTGCGATGGGCTTTGCGCCCTACTTTGATGAGGAGACTGTGTTGGACAAATCTCAGCCCATTAAGTTTCGCTTTCGCCGAAGGCCGAACAACTGTGATACTGAGATTAGGTCAACGCTGCCCTGCGAGACGACCCAAAATACAAACGTCATGGTCCTCACCAACAGCAACGATATGATGGTATGGCCCAGTCAGAAGGTAGCACAGATGAATCGTGTGCCAGTCACCCTGCTATCGGGCCCCGGCGATCTTACCGAGTACATGTTGGAGGAGGAGACAATCATGTAGACCGAAAATTTGGAATTTGAAAAAATCAGTTTTTAATTGAAAATTTACACAACAAACAACAAATAGCAATAAATAGTATAATCTCTGAAAGCGGAACAGAGAGAAAAGAGAGGGAAAACACAGGAAAAACACAGTCTAAATATTATTTTTGTGTGTGATGGGAGGTAAAAACAAAAATGAATTTGAATAGAGAGAGGGGAGAGATAGAGGTAGGGCCAAATTCCAGAAATATGTATTCTATTCTGGTGGAGAAAGTAAAAGTGAATGAGTGCGAGAAAGAGCGAGGTAGAGAATGAGATTCCAAATAAAAATGTATTCTAGATAATTGTAGTAAAGAAACGGAGTATACTCCCAAATTATTACGACATTTCAGTTAGGCAGAGATTCCAGAAAGGTTTATTCTTTTATCATATCAATGAGAGATGCCAAAAAAGTTGTTGCTCCTATTTGGGAAGCCCTCAAAAAGTCGCACAATAAATGGTTGATAACTTCTATGGCTTATGTAAAAGTTGACATAAATATGTATTGATATAGACATCACATATATACGCATATATATGTATGTTACATATCAGCACATATAAGTCTTTGCTTTACATATATAGAAAGTGTCCCCGAAGAAGTCAATGAACGCTACTGGCAAAAGGAATTTATGCATTCCGAATGTCTGAGATTGAATTTGAATTTGATTTTGATTTTGATGTGAGATGTAGAGCTCTTTCTTTGGGGATCGAATATATAGACATATAGATTGTACAGAGTGATACAACTGTGAAATGACTTGGATTCTGTTATTTAACATATATATGTGATTATACGTATGTATGTATATATGTATATACCATTTAGATAAGTTGAATGTACGGTAAAAACTGTGGGACATTTTCAAATTATATATGTAGGTAATATATTTACATACTATATAAATATATTAAATCAGAGTTGAACTATAAAATCTCCGATTGGGAGCTCTTTAGATTGTTTCCTAGTTACAAAATGTTCAAATCATCGCATACATATATATTTATACCTTTTGAGAGGCAATAATAATATATGCAAATGGATGTACCCAATATTATGAATCATATTTAAATGTATGTCAAAAACTAGAAAGGAATTGTCCATACATGGTATATATATTATATATACATATTATATATAAGATATATATGATTAATAGGGTATATATAATTTCTAACCGTATCTATATCCTTACAAGTAATGTCTCTGTATTTTATATGATGATGATGCACATTCCTTTCAGTTCATTGAAGTACAGTAAAATCTCTGTGGATGTGTGACTAACTGCTGAGTAAAAAACTAGTTAGAAATAGTTTTCAGATAGAATTTGTATTATAGCATTTCATGCTATTCATATCAATTGAGTTGAGTAAATGCAATTTGTTAATATCAAATAGAATAATGTACTTTGGCAGATATTTCTTATACACATTTCATTCAGCTCCAAGTTCCGAAATGGATTTCTGTATTACAAAACAAACTGATTTCGTATAGACTCTAGACTGCAGGGAGGGATGCTTGTTTAATAGAGCCAACATTAGCGAATGGTTGTGTTGTTAGTTGGAATAGTTGGAATACTATGAATTGAGCGAGTAAATGATCTAGTCGTAGAGACAACCAGTTGGCACATATCGTAAGCATGCAATGCAATGTAATTAAAAGTAAGGTAAGTCATCATTAACATTTTCCATAGGGCAGGTGTTTTTTACTCTTGTTTTTTTTTTTCTCTTATTTTTTTGTCATAGTTCACAATTACGCATTACGGAATTCTAAGAAGAACACATGGGCATGGCAATGGATTTAAATGTATATCAGGTTATTGATTCATTTAGGATTTTTTCGATTGCTTTTTTGCTGCCTAACAATTGCTAGTGAAAAACCGTGCGAATAGCTTATTTTTTTTATTGACCGCGATCGCTCAAATGTGAAGCACGACGGCGACTTATTGCTCATGCAATATGAAAGAAACAAAGAAAACCCAAAGATAGAAAAAGAAACACAAATATATATACATATATATATATATTTTTTTATATACATACATATATAATACCGACAAATCTAAACCGTTTTAAACGGCTGCTTGTGCTGTGTGTGGTACTCGCGTCCAATTAAATGCTTTTAACCTTCAAAAAGTAGTACAGGTCTAGCCTCGAGCCCCACTCCCGGCGGCTTGCCCCTGGCTTTTGGCTAAATACCGGATTACGCTGAGGAGTTTATGCTGTCTATAGAGCTACATACACTAACAGCTCATAGCCAAAAACGCTCTCATTGAATCTTCCGATCTGCAGTGAACTTTCAATGTCAATGTCAACAAAATCTATTACGATCATTGACAGTTGCTGTACATACATATATAAATCTATGAGTACTATGTCTATTATTTAATGCTTTTTGATCTGTCATTGTGTGGTTTTCATATGTATATGTGCGTACTTAGTATGTAGATCTTGCTCTTTGAATTTTGTCTTGAGTTTCGCGATTGCGGCTTATGTGCAATTGGTTTTATGTTAACAACATCGCCGGAAATTAGAGCCATGTCTAGAGGGTCAGTGTGCGAATCTGAGCTGCATCTTAACTGATCTGAACCTGACCTAAGAAGACAAATTGTGTGATGAAATATTACTGCTACGATTGCTAAGCCTTATGAGAGCTATCAATTATGGAATTAATCAACATCACGTTATGTGAGAAAAATTATTAAAGACTTACATAAAACGTAACCTGCAAATTGAAATTTTATTGTTTTATTTAGTTTTCACTAGTTAATGGAATTAAAAAGCTGCTAAACTAAATCACATATAAAAGTATTTTAACATTTTCCGTCGTTCTACTCGAAATTGCACTGCAAAACTTAACGGAAAACAGCAACAAAGCTGCACTGTATACGAAACCCGGACAAGCATTCGCGTTTAACTGTAAAACAACGGGAATCCTTTCCACTCACCATTTCCGTTGCCTATGTTAAGCAATTCCAGTTTCAGCTGTTGACTGCTTTTGGCAGGAACAACAGCGCCCGCGCCGACTGCAGCTGCGGCTGCTGCTGCTGTTGGTACGATCGCGGCAGCGTCCATGGCGACGGTGGCAGCATCTATGGCAATGTCGCCATTTTGAGTGCTACCATTTTGTTCGTTAGCTTGAGGTTTCATTTTGTTAAAGATGATTTTTTTTTTTTTGCGATTATTTATGTAAATAAAACAAGGATAAGCGTAGGCTCTAGGTTTGGATTTGGGTTTGATTTGGTTTACTAGCGTTTAGGATTTCGGCTTAACTAAAAAACACACTAAATAACGCGTCGCTTGCAATTGTTGTTTATGCTAGATTTAACTGTTTATTAAGTTATTAAATTTTGTATTATTGGTTGATGCTAATGCGCGCGCGTTCCGCTTTTATTTGCTACACCCGACTAAACGGCCAGAGATTTAGTTGTAACCTTTTTATTATGAAAAATCGAAAGTTCTTGTTCAACGAGAGATACAACTGACGACGACGACTCAGCCAGCGTCGCTTTTGCGGTCGCTTGCCTTTTGTTGGCGTTGTTGTTGCTAATACAGTGCGGTCCCGATAAGTGGAGCAAACAACTATTCGCAACAATTGCTTTCAATTATATTTCAGCTAGAGCAGTTATGTATTCTAAGCAATCGTTATTCTAATAATGTAAGTAAAAGACCTGAGTCTTAAGTTAAGACTGCAAATAACAGTTAGCCCTTTGATGTTATACTCTACATTCGCAAAATTAAACAAATAAAATCATATTCACTCGCTCTCACTCTCACCCTTTGGTTATTTTGGTTATTATTATTTGTTGAGCGCCTTCAATTAACCTATTCATATAGGGCGATTCTCAGTATAAGAGTACAATATCTCT